CTTCCTTCCTTCCTTCCTTCCTTCCTTCCTTCCTTCCTTCCTTCTTTCCCTCCTTCTTTCCTTTCTTCCTTCCTTTCTTTCTTTCCCTTTGAATAGTGATAGCAAAAGTTAGCTTGAGACCAATGGAAATGGGGAATGCATCTGGGCTTTGTCTCAGTTTATTTTTATTCTTTTACTAATCTTCTTTAATGTACTTAGTATAAGGCAGAGTTTTTATTTTTGAACTTGTTTTATTTTATCACACTGATATATTTTCTGTGTTTCTAGTTTGTAATTCAAACTTTATTTTATCTTAGGCTAAAAGAACCACACACCATGTCCAGAAGTCAAAAGTTTATCATCTGGCTTTCTGATTTGTAAGAATTTTAGTTTCTTAATATGCAAATTACTCCTTTGGCTATATTTACTAAATAACCACACTTACAACTTAGTACAAGCTTTCCACATGTAATTTGTAACAAAGACATTTTAAGCACCTACTGTGCTAATAAATATGTACGAATCATTTAGAATCAGTTTATTACTAATCATGAAACTTTAGGAAGAATCTTGTGAGATAACCTCATCTAATTCCATAAGAGAACTGAGCCGCCACCTACTCAGTTAAGTGATTTACTTGAAATTATCTAGTGAGTTAGTGGAAGACCTGAGATACGTAGCGATTCTCTTCTATTTACTTATTGCTAACACTTTCTCACATTCAGACCATGGTGTAAGAAGTATGAATAGCTATATGGTATATGTAAAGTGTATATTGTCTACCAGCATTTGTCAGAAAAATCTGGACCAAGACTTAATAGGAAGTTTTATCTACAGGGTAGACATAAACTTAAAAAAAAGAAATGCCTAGGGCCTGCTCTGTAAAGTAGTGGTTAAGCCCTATGCATAGGGGACCAGATGCTACGTGTCTAAAGCAGTTTGTCCCCTGGCCCAGGCAACTTGAAAAACATGCTAAGTCCATGTGCATGTGTGCCCAACATCCTGGTGGGGTGGAGAAATTGAGGAAGAATTGTGGCATGACCAGGCCCATGCAGGGAGTGCATTCTCTCTCTGTCTCTCTGGTAGTAGAAAAAAAATTTTTTTTTAATGTGAAGATACCTAATATTTAAGACATATTGAGTTTAATGTTAGGTAAAATCCACAAAGTAGTAGTGCTATATTTTGCTTTAAAACAATCTTGAATTATGTTAATAGTCCTTAATCATCATTTTTTTATTATAATTTAGCTCTTCAGAGTCTTAGAAAATTAGTTTTATCTTTTCTCTTTGCCACAGGGTTTATTCTGTTTTGCTTTATTTCTGACTTAATTTCTAATTTCCAAGAATGCATTTTCTTAATTGCAAGAGGGTACATGTGCCCTCCAGAGATACATATAGAGAAAGCATCCCCTCTTGGGGCATGGCCATGTTGTTATCCCTTTTCCTCCATTTCTCCATCTTGTTGGAATTTGGGGTGTAGACACATACCTAGCATATTTTTCAAGCCTCCAGGACTGGCATTTGAACTGAGTCAGCATGTGAGATCTGGTTCCCTTAACCACTAGGCTAGGGGGCTGGCCCTTCGAGAATGCATTTTTAGTTGGTATTAAATGCACATGATTTCTAGTTTTTGTAATTTTAATTTAATCATTCTAATAGGCATAGTGGAATAGAAATAATATGTACAATGTTCCAGTGCAATTAGTTCCCATCTTGCTCAAATGATTTATATTCTAAGAGTTTTTTTGTAAATCATTTATTTGGAATTTAAAAATGATTTTTGCTAGCTATAGAATAGTGTGATTAGTAGAGGTTTCTAAGATAGTTTATAAAAGACTAACCCATTATGTAATCGAACTGTTATGATACAGAGCGCGACCCAAATTCACTATCTTATTTTAACTTTGCAAAGTTATAAACATTTATTTCCCAGGTCTTATTCTCATTATGGCTCCAGCAGGGAAAGTGGGGGAAGCCTGTTCTCCATTGAGCTGCTTCAATAAGAATGAGTTTTCTGAGGATCTAGTGGTGGCAAGGAATAGGAAAGAAGTTTCAGTTGTTCGGGGCCAGCAGCCAGCAGCGAAAGGAAATCAAGCAGTTAAGACAGGCATTCATCCATAGCAACCATTGTCATTTGAGGCCGTTGCTGATATTGCTGAAGCACTGGTACTGAATTAAGCTAGGAATTATGTCCCAAACTCTAAATTGACTAAGTTAGGACTAAGGACTGATTCCTTAGTTAGGCCTAAGAAATACCTAAATCTGTTCTGCTGTTCTCTTCTAGTTTACTAATGAGGAAAGCTTTGTTTGACCACCTCACTGCCAGAGGCATTCAAGTAAGTTTTTTGGAATGATTCATTTTGGAATCAGCACAGCTCACTTGTTACACACAAGTGTAAAGGGCAGGGACTTTTAACTGACATTATTTGGTCCCTGACTCCAATGACACTAATGTACTGATGAATAAATGAGGACCTTAAACTCTACCTTACACTTGGCAATAAAGCACTGTCATGTCCAGATTCCTCTTAAGTATAGGTGAGAATAGTCGAAGTCAGAGGAATGGGACAATGTATAGTTAATGATCAAAATAGGATTTTAAACAAGAGTTTAATTTCTTAAAATGGCAGCTTTAGAAGATTATTACCAAGTGTGCTGAGGTTGAGTGGATACATGTTGTTATACAAATAATTTTCTATACTAACATTTCTTCTCATACTTCTCACGCTTCTAATTTTCAGGTGTATGTTTGGGTATTAAATGAAGAACAAGAATACAAAAGAGCTTTTGATTTGGGAGCAACCGGGGTGATGACAGACTATCCCACAAAGCTTAAGGATTTTTTACATAATTTTTCAACATAGAAAAAGAATTACTCAGAAGCACTCAAAGAAAATGTGAGAAGACCTAAGGAAAAAAAAACATCTCACCATCATTTCCCTGAGCCATTCCAGAATGGTAAAAGTTTTAATCAATTAAGTTTTTATTACCTCATTTTTAAGCCTGTATGAGAATGTAGAAACTATATATTGTATATTTATTTTAAACAATATTACATATTTTACACTTATAAATTGTTTAGAAAGATGACTGGTTGTGACATATAAGTAGATTATTGATCAAGATTTCTGTATATGATCGATCCAGTATTCTTCTGTTGTAAGTAATTTTTTAATCAAAGACTGTTGGTTAAATTTGATATTAGCCTTCACTGGAATAAGATCAACTAATTAGTAAAAGAAAATTAGTTAGGACCAACAGATGGCATGGAGGTTAAGGCACTGAATTTCCACATGGCCAACTATGGTTCAAGTCCCAGAACTGGCAGCTTTAAAATCATGCCAAGTGTGTGTGCATGTGTGTCCAAAGTCCCCGAGAGAAGAATGGAAGAGAAGAGATTGCTGTGTGGCCATCCCCCTAGGGAGTGATTTTTCACTTTCCCTCTCTTTGTCTTTCCAGTGAGCATACATGCCCTATGGCAAAAACCTAAAAAAAAAAGAGAGAAAATTATTCAAGGCCATTACAGCTATTCTGCATTGTCTCCTTATTTCTAGATATGTCTGAGTTAAAAGGGAAAAAAATACAATGGAAGAAGAGCTTGGCAATCAATGAAGTAGTCATCTGGCAAGTTATGCATTGTTAATAGAAGGCAAGCTCAAAGAAGTAATCGAAAGTTTATTACTTGATCAGAAATAAAGTCTGTAGACTGGATTAGATTTTTTGGTTGCTGTTGTTAATAGGGATATTCTATTTGAAGTCTTTTTTCAGGTGTCTAACAGTGCTACCATGTCTATTTTTTTAAACATTAAAAATGGGGTTAACCATAAATTAAGACAAGATCCAAATAGTCATATTTTTACATTTTCTCTATAGAGAAATTTTAGATTTCAGTTTGGGGCACTATTTAAGCCTACATCTAAATTTTAAATAACATCTCGAATCCTGAAAATCGTATGAAACTGAAGGAAGTGTTTATCATTATTTCTAATACTTACAGTGCAAACCACCCGTTCCTGATCCTTAAGAATTCATTCTTCTGAGTATTAAGGAGAAACAGAATTTCCCAAAGTGTTAGACATAATTTTCTCAGCTTTTCTGATGTGATTTTATGTAAATCTGTTAAAAGTTTTTTTCTCTAATGTTTGTGATCTTAGATGGGGAGATAAATATAATCTGGAATAATAAGTATCTTTTACCTAGATTACATCTTTCATTTGGAGTCTGCAGTTAAACAGCTATAAAGGATGACCGTACTCTCCCATCTGTCTCTGGATGACATAAATATTATTTTCTTTGTTGGTTAAACTGAAATAAAGTTTTCCAAAAACTAAATAAGCGTTCTTGATTGTTTCTTAGAGTTATGATTCAAATATGTTTTATAGATTTTTTTCAGATTATAATGAAGTGAATTGATAATGTGAGTTAAAGCACCTAAGGTTCCTAAATATAAAGAAAATAAGTTATGGAAACACCTTTATGATAAGTTGTTCAATCAGTCTTTTTCACTTTTACTTATAATTTATGGTTAAATCTTTAGGTGTCATTTTTACTTTTTTTAAAAAAAGAATTATTTATCACCATTACCATTTTAAAATTTGTTAAAGAGCACGTGAGCTCACCAGAGAGAGAGAGAGGGAGAGAGGGAAAATGGGAAAGCAAGCCTCTAGATCCGGGACTCAAGCTACAGTCGGCCATATGGGGCTCTAACACCCTAAGCACCATGCATGTCTGGTTATTTAAATGCCTCTCTAGGTTTGGAAAGTTTTCTTTCAGGATTTCATGGAATAGGTTATCAATGCCCTTATTAGTTTCCTCACCTTCGGGGCTACCGATGATCCAAATGTTTGGACGTTTAATGGTATCTAATATTACTCGTATGTTATTCTCATTTTTTGGGGTTATTTTCTCAGTCTTTATGGTGAATTTTTCTAGGGCAGAGGTTTTGTCTTCTCCATCTGAGATTCGATCTTCTGCATGATCTAGTCTGCTTTTAATATTTTCAAGGGAGGTTTTGATTTCGTATATTACAGCCTTAATCTCTAACAATTCCATTTGATTCTTTTTTATGATGTGTATCTCCCCTTTTAGATCATGCCAGAACTTCTCCCACCTCTTGGGACTCATTGTCTCTTTCCTCCTGCATCTTCTGGAGTTCGTAGTCTCTCTTCTCTTACATCTCTGTTAGATTTGTCACTGTGAATATTCTAAATTCTTTATCAGACATTTCCACGAGTTCCATTGTACTGTCTGTGGAGGATGAGGAGTTATTCTTTTCCCTTGGAGTAGAGATATTTTCTTGGTTTCTCATATTTCTTGTGCATCTGCAGCGGTTTCTGGTCACCTGATGAATTACACATTTTTTCCTAATTTTTGGAGTTAAATCTGAGCATTCAGAGGCATGCAAGTGGAGGTGATCTACAATCTCTCTGCAGTATAATTTTTCTGTCTTTGTATAGCAGATTCCATGGGAATTGAGGATTACTCTGACCCTGGCTAGATCTTGGAGTCAGGAGGCTGACGTCTGGGTAGAAAATCTTCAGTTGTCCTAGTCCCTGAAAGGGGTTGCTCGGAACTCAAATGTAAATGGCTTGTGATTGGCCTGTCCTGACTGAATCTTGGGATCAGGAAGGTACAGTCTCAGTTTCCATATGATGGTTTCTAACTCTCCATGACAGATCCAACCAACAGAATAGAGAAAGGGGTGAAAAGGATTAAGGAAAGAGAAGGCTTGTCATAGTCATTGAAAAATATGAACCTATCAGAGAAACGGTGGGATGACTGGCAGCTCTGAGAGCTAATTTGAGGCTTGCCATTTTTGTGTTTAAGATGAAATCAGGGTGCCAGCCAGTGATGTGGTGGTTCAGGCAGCTTGATTCCACATGGCCAACTTCATGATTCGAGTCGCAGATCAGGCGGCTTGAGAAACACTCTGGGCGTGGGGGACGAGCAGTTAGCGTAATGGCTGGGGCCCTGGACTCCCATGTAGTTGACTGCTGGTTGAGTCCCAGACCCAGTGGCTTAAACTCATGCCGGGTGCTTGTGCGTGCCCAAGATCCTGAGAGGAGAAGGGATTGCGGCGTGGCCATCCCCCCCGGGGGGTGATTTGTCGCTTTCTGTCTCTCTCTGTTTTTGCACGCACCCTGTAGCAAAAACCTTCAAAAACAAAAAAAGAGAGAGAGAGAAAAACACTCTGGGCACATGTGTGTGAGTGCCCAAAATTCTGAAAGGAGAGAGAAATGGAGGAGAAAGGATGACAGCGTGACCATGCCCCATGAGGGTTGCTTTCTCACTTTCCCTCTCTCTCTCTGTGCTGCATACATGTATCCTCTGGTAAATTAAAAAAGAAAAGAGGATATCAGTTAACTCAGTTATGATCTCACAAGAGTCAACAAAAGAGTTGATCTTTGAAGTCAGGAGAACAATCTCTGAAGGAATAGTAGAGGGAGGGAAAAGAAAGTTAAGTCTTAGAATATCCTCAAAGGGGGCCTCAGGTGACATGGTGGTTAAGTCGATGGATCCCACATGGCTTGACCGTGTAGTTCGAATCGGGACTCAGCAACTTGAAAAACACAACAGGCATGTGTGTGTGCATGCCCAAAATCTCAGGAGGGGAATGGAGAAGGGACTGCAGCGTGGCCATCTGTCCTGGGGGATGATGTCTCACTTTCTCTCTCTCTCTCTTTAGCAAGTACACGCACCTTATAGCAAAAGTTACAGCAACAACAAAAATGCTCAAAGGAGGCAGAGATGGTATAGTTTGAGAAGTCTAAGCAGGAAAGTAGAATGTCCTTAACCTCACGAAAGTAGAGAATTTACGAAAGAAGGTGGTTATCAGCAGTGTCAAAAAAAAAAAAAAAGAAAAGAAAAAAAGACGTTGAAATCAAGGAAGGCAAGGGCTGGGGACGGTTTAAATGTTAAATGGAAGACTCGAATCATGGTCATTGATCTCTGTAGTTGAAAGAACTGAGACCAGATTACAAAGGAATGAAGAGGACTGAATGGTACTAAACAAGGCTGGTAAAAGTCAGCCTGTTACTCAAAGGAATTAGAGAAATGGGACATTCGAAAGGGCAGCAGTATCAAGTCAGTTGTGTTCTAAATGGGCAGGCTTGCATATGTGTGAAAACAAGAAGGTTATGTGAAGAGAGATTAGAGATACTGCACAGAGACATGTGAGCGAAGGCCTCTTCAAAACTGAGCTGGTTGTTATTTATTTACAATTGCCAGAGCACAGGTGTGCTTTCCAGAGAGGGGGAAGTGAGAAAGTATTTTCCATGGAGCATGATCCGCCGCAATCCCTTCTCCATCTTTCCCCTCCTTTGGGGATTGTGGGCACACATGCTCATGCACCCAGCATGTTTCTCAGGCCATTGAGTCCAGGACTCAAATGCACTCTAGCCACCTCAACCACCATGCCACCACATTTACTTAAATATTTATTCAATAGGGGCCAGCAAGTGGCATAGTGGGCTTCCACTTGGCCAGCCGTGGTTTGAGTCCCAGACCTGGCAGCTTGAAATTCATGCTGGGCACGTGTGTGCATGTGTGTGTGCCCAAAACCCTGAGAGGGGGATGGAGGAGAAGAGATTGTATCATGGCCCTCCCCCTTAGGGGGTAATTTCTCATTTTCTCTCTGTCTCTCTCTGTGTCCCCAGCGAGCACACGTGCCCTATAACAAAAATTCCTCTCTACAAAAAAGAAAAAAGAATATGTTTAACAAATACTTATAAATGCCTACTTTGCCAAGCACCTGGGGTACAGCTATAGAATGTGCTGAAAATTTCCTGCCTTGGGAGCCAGCAGTTAGCGTAATGGCTATGTCGCTGGACTCCCACGTAGTCGACCGCAGTTCACGTCCCAGACCCGGTGGCTTAAAACTCACTCCGGGCGCGTGTGCGTGCGTGCCCAAGATCCCGAGAGGAGAATGGAGGAGAAGGGATTGCGGCATGACCATCCCCCCTGGGAGGTGATTTCTCGCTTTCTGTCTCTATGTCTCTCTCTGTCTGGCAAGCACACGCGCCCTAAAGCAAAAAAACCTCTCCAAAAAAAAAAAAATTTCCTGCCCTTGGTGCTCATGGTCTAGTTAAGTAATCCAGAGCTGGGAAGAAGAAAAAGGGGTTTTTCTTGTCAGAAAGGTCATGACTCATTTTTGCACAGAAAAGTCATGACGCATTTTTGCATAGAAAAACAGAAAAATATTTTATGACTTTTCTGGCCACTCATTAGAACAGTATGGAGAGAGAGATGTCTCTACGTGTAAGGACATCAGTACCATCAGATTTAGGGCCCCATTTTTATGACCTTCTTTTATCTTCTTATTTTTTTTAGAAAG